CGCAGTGCTGGCGAACAGAGTTTCTTGCGGGCGAGGTTTTGCACAGATTTATATACACTGTAATTGGATAGATCCCAGCGGCAGGTACTCACAATGGTTTCAGTTAAAACAATCGCTCCAATTTCATTATTTAACACATTTACGCCAAAAAGTCATAGCAATAGTAATATATACAACACAGTAAGTTCCTTCGAATGTATCTCCAAATCACGGCTAAGAGACGCAATGGTTTGATGTCTATCAATTGTTTAACATTTCTTATGATATTAGTTAGAACGAACTGGAGGATTGTGTAATGTGGTGTTGCATGCTTCTCATATGCTGCTGATAGCAAGTACTGAAGAATCTGTAAAGGCCAGTTGGCATGATTCAAGAGGAGATATTTAGTTTTAAATATATAAAATTATTTATTCTTATATAATAACTATAAAATAAAATAATTGTGCCTATATTAGTGTTTCGAATAGCAGCAAAAACAATTTAACCAAATCTCTTATTTGAGAGAACAGGCAATTTCTTTTCACGATTCGAGCATTGATATTTTAAAAAATTGTAAATAAAAATCACGTTTTTAACTTAAATTGTAATTATTGAGTGAACTCAAGCGGTAATAATCTGCCCTCAAGACTGATCACATGCGAATGTTAATCAAATCACTTGTGAGGAGACATTCCAATCACAGCATCTAGGATGTTGAGTAGTGCATTTCTAAAGACATAGCACATTATCTTCTATGCCGTGTCGGAGGTTTAGTTTGTAATTTAGGGCTTTATGAGCTTTTTCGAGAAAGGAGCATTCTGCTGTTTTTAGATTTTAAACTGAAGCAAATAAACGTTAACATATTTTTTCATTAGCACGCTTTTATTTTGTCTGTTATATAACAAACACGTCACTATTACATAGTTTTATAGGAAGGGCAAATCTGGTTGCTGAAACAGCCACAGTCATGGTGCAACGATTTACTACCGCTCTAAGTTCGGAAGTTGCGCGTTCTAATTGTTCTAGGAGAATGCAAAATGTTTTGTACACGATGTTCCAGTAAAACCTGTTTCTTTTGGAACGTGCAAAGCGTGTTGAAAATTCAATTTTTAGCATTAATGTTAACAGGGAGGCGATGCTCAAATGTTCAGATAAAACTGTGAATACAACAAACAAAATAAAATACTTTCGTTTGATCATATCAGGTTCTACTGCCCTTAGTGTAACAAAGTGATTCGTATGCACGAATTAAAATAAAATGAATGTCAGTAAGGCTCACTAAAAATAGTGGATATCCCACATGATAAAAGTGATTTTATTTTGCACGTAGGCTTGTGCCACTCGGTCCATCAGCCTCGTGCAGCAACATTTCCTACTCGCAAAATGAAATCCACTTTAATCTTTCGTATCATAAAACGATTCTTCACTTCACTGACCTATATTTTTATAAATCGTTCATTTGTTTTAGTCTGTCGGTTTTTAATAACAGCTGTCAACGAGAGGCATGACCACGGCCATAAGACACCGAAGGGCCGGTGCGTGTTCGTTGTGCCCGCCGGGAGCCGCCCCCCGCCCACTGCCTACCCCTGCGTCGGCGCCGCGCGTTGTCCTCCGCCCGGGAGCCGCGAGGAGGGCCCGTGGACTTCATTAGCAGGATTAGCCCTCCTGGAAGCCGCGTAACTCCGCAGCCGCGCAGACAGGCGTGCGGAATCCTCAAGACCCGCGCCGCCGCGCCGCCTCGACAGCCACCGCCATCGCCGCCGCCAGCCACGCAGCGGCTCGAGAATAATAAACAAACGACCAGAGTTACCGCGAAATTACAGCAACTGTGAAAAATGGATGCTATAATTCTGTGGCGACAGTTCATTATACGAATTACTCTTATACTTTGTGGTCATTCTTTCTGCAATAATGCGGGGCTGGCAAAAAAAATTAAAATCTAAAGTGGTAAATTATGTTTCATGCTAGAGTGTAATGTTTGAGTTTTCACAACATAATTATTGTTAGCAAATATGGCAATTTTATACTGTATATTTTCAAGTTTCTTGCCTACACCACATTACTTTAGAAAAAATAGTAGCCATTATTTTTTAGATATCGTCGGATGTTTTTATCAGTATTACTTTCAAAATGTGAAACCTATACATTTCGCTAAGGTCCGCTCCAATGAGATCAAAAATTTTAAATTGAGGATATCCGAAATATGTAATTCTGTTAAGGAAAAAACGTACTTTATGTACTTTTATACCATAAAATATTAATTAAATATAATGTTTCATCTGGAAGATTCCTAAGTGAGAGAGAGGTTATAAGTCCAAACCTAAAATATAATAAAGGAGAGGGTGATATTGAAATGCAATTTAAAAAATAATAAACTTCCTTCAAATTGTTTGCAGCGTTAGTTTCCTTGATCAGGATATAATCCTGGTCACCTCACCAAGTCTCCTCACAGAATAGGGACAATTCGACAGACTCGCATTTCCTGTTTCACTGCGTCGAAAAGTACACAATTAATAAATGACAAGTGATTCCTTGTACTGATATGTCAATAGGCGGCTGCATTCTTACGAAATATCAACAAAAAAGTTTTTTAATTTCGAACTCAGTTCAATTTATTGTTGATTTTATTGTCAAATATATATTTTTAAACTAAGGCTGAAAGCTATCTCCAATTATTTTAAATTTAATTCATCAAAAACTATTTTTGTATTCACGCTTGGGCAATACTAGACCCGTAATGTCACATTTATTTAAAACTTATTTTTTAGTGATTCGTTATTGCTTGTTATTACCTTTGATACTGAGTTCGCCCTATATAATTTACCTGAATCAAGAGAAATATGGAAACAATTGAATGATGCTACATGTTCTCATATAGAGATAATTATAGGAAGGATATATGAAAAGATCAACTGAGTCTAATTAATAAGTAAATATGCATCATTAAAATTGAGTAAAAAATAAAATTTTGTATGATCACGAGCGTTTAGTTCTAATGACCTCGAGGTTTTTGTCGCCGCTTGATCATTAGAACTCTAATAAATATATAACTTTTACGTTTAAAATATGCAAACAACACATTATGGCTGGTATCAATCCATTTTCAAAACAACGCGGACAGTAAATTATTGGGCAGGAATTTTTAATACTAAAATTCTGATGGAATATTCGGATTCAAAATCATAAAATAGAAGGGATCATTGAAAATGTAACTCGTTAAAATCGGGAGGTGAAGGGGAAGCGTTTCTCTAACCAGGTTTTTAAGGCATTGGAAAACTCTTCGGGAATGGTTTCTTGGAACTACAGTTGATTTATGAGTGATTATTTTGACATTCATTTATGGCAAAGTAAATTGGGGGGCAAGGACTGTGAGAAACATAAATGACTCGCGTTCATTTTACTAACTTTGCCTAACCTTAACTGCATCTGTGGTACTCCCTATTATATTTCGCCTTCTAGAGAAGAGGAGGCGGCAAGCTATCAAACAAAATTTTAGCGCATGTGCAGTGGAATCTTAATTTTCAAGGCGAGATTCAGGCCATCAGGCCCGCATATTTCGCTAAGCTCCTTTCAACATCTAGCTGAGAAAGAAGGTATTAGTCGGGCGAAGAAACAGGCGATTTTGAACTTAGGTCAGAGACTAATTTGATTTGGGTGTGATACTTCCCGTTATTTTTGTCATTCCGCCATCTAAAAACAAGATGGGCAAGCTGTCAAATCAAATTTTAGCGCATACGTAGTGGAAGCTCCCCCTCCCCCCCGGCGATGTTAGCCCAAAGACCTAATTAGATACCCGTCCCACTGTGCGGCCCTGCGCGTGGGCTAGACGTCGCTCGGGGTTTAAACAAGGCGTTGGACGCGCGATGCGGTTTAGGGCGCGTTCATTAGAGAACGGATTTGTACAGGCGATCGTAACGGGAATTTACAAGTGGATGCGTTTTAGTAGTACCTGAAACGGTATACGACTTACGATATTTCTCGCCGGGGTCGCTAAACAAGCTGTCTCATATCTCTACCACACCTTTCGCTTTGCGCGATTGTGATGATGGAATAATCAACCGCAAATCTTTAATATCCGTAGAATATAAATTGTCGCCTATGATTACGTGTTAGTTACAACCAATGTCATATTTTACATTGGATTTAACAAACGAACAATCTGAATGTGCGGAGAGTTTAAACGTCTTTACTGTATGCTTTAGAACAGCGTTTCAACTTCTGCATTTTACATTCACGTTTGATAAACTAGAAACTTCCTTCTTTCCCAGGTACCCCTCTACGAAGATTAAACACGGCATTTTAATGACAACTTCAGGTACTATGATTTGCGTGTCATTTAAGTTATTTTTTTGTTCCTAAGATAACATTTTTCTGCCACTCTTATGACTCTGGGAGTATTTCTTTATCCTTTAGGCTTGAAGGTAATGTCAACAGTGGTATTATCGGTGCACAAGAGAACAAATATATTTTATTACAAGAGTCTAGAACGGTGTTTTTCCCATTCCGTAACTCTAACAGCAAACGGTTACTTCTTTTTCTCTCTAAATCTCGAAACATGCAGTCTCCAAACATGGCATACAATCAATATTACATGCCTCGAACGATTCACTGTATTCAAAGCAAAAGCAATTTAACCGAAATGATTCAAGCAGTTTGAATAGAATATCTCTAAACATTCACGCACATTGGAATTTTTCACAATTTGTTTTTTATTTTCGAATTTTTATTACCACATAAAGGTTCACATTCATTTCATGCAAAGAAAATTCGAGCGTAGAACATAACAAGCGTATTCATTCGTATTTTATTCAAATTCAAGTCGTTTCGTTTATTAATGCCATGGAAATCTGACCGTGCGAGAGCCATAAAACTCATTATGCATCGTCAATGACAAAAGCAGCTCACGATTTTACAAGAGGTTCTTCATGGAATTTAAAGAAACGTTCACTCAGTCTTACTATCTTTCTATCATCACCCCATCACAAAGAGGCATATTAGGGGTCGCCGTGATACGTGAAATATTTACGTCTCTGTTTCAGGTATTATCAGTATCGACATCGATGATTATTTATTGACCATTCCATAGTTTCGACCTATCTGTATCCACTTCATCAAAAATTAAGAACTGAGTTTTATAGTAACTCAATCATTGCAATTTAATATGAAAGACTTGTAGCGTTTATTTTCATTTGATTGACACTAATAGCTTTAATTTATACTGTCTATTAAGTATGTGGAGTTCTTTCCGTTAATTTGGGTGAAACATAAGATATTAGATAATAAAAGTAATTTCGAAATGTGACGATGTGTTTTAAGACAAAATGGTACTTTATATGAAATGCATTATGCACATAACATCCCGCAACTTAGCAGTACGGACTGTTCATGTTGTGGAATATCGACACTTCTTTCTGTGATGAATCCACAAGAAATAATGAACAATATATCGCACCGAATAAAGTAGTATCACAAAATCTTATATTAGCAAAGTGTTGAAGAATGGTGTGGATTATTTGCCAACAATTGGAAATTGTACTGTAAAAGTATTGATTTAGTGAACTAAATTATCCATCGACATCATATCTATAGAATCAATCGGATCGAGTTGGGTGTGTAACATGAAATATGTCAATATCCTTAGTCATTTTGCAGATCAGAGTTACCTAAACATTTTGCTCATCCCCTACCCTATTAGACAATGCGTTAGAAACATGTAAAACTAATTTCCAAATAAGAAAGTTATATTTAGATATGATTTTGGAAAATATTTTGATTCTTCAGAATATAATCTTCATATTTTATTTTAATTTTCTGTTTAATAATTATATTGAAAATATTAATATCTCTGAAATGACATATATTACTACTTATCGTGTAAATGCGATAACTTAATCAACTACTTCTTACGGATGCAAAGAAGCATAATGAATAATACTGTGAGTCCACAAAGATTTGAAACAGGATGGCGACTATGAACCACTCAGATTGTGAGACAGGTGAATGAAAAAAAGTTAGCTAGAGAATAACTTGAAATACCGAACATCTATATGGTTTGGATGCCTTCTTAAGAAATGTAAATCTTGTTATACTATGTGTTTCAATCAGCAGTGATCAATAAATTATTTAAACACTTTAGACTGTTTCACTAGTGTCAAATGTCTTTCGACACATTGTTGCCTTTTCGAATGTGTATCTGCAATTCAGAAAAAAAAATTATAAAACATTAGTGTAGATTACAATTCAGATGGTTCGGTCCCCCTTTTTACGGTTTTTATATTACTTCAATGAATTTCTATTATGAAAACTAAGGCCTAGAAGATGACAAATTGCTCTAAATGTATTTTTCAAGTGGCTTCAGCCAACTTCTTCTTTGGCACCCCTCATTAGGCACCAAAACATTTGCAGACACGTAATAACAAAACAAGAGCCCCTCTACCACACTACACACGAATTATAAAGAATGAACATAGATGTCCAGACAAAATCCGCACAGCTACGCATCTTCGGACCACGCCATTCAGTCCGCATACGCTCTGCTCGATAAGACCAGTTTTTCCCTCTCAATTTAATTCTTAAAAATAAATTAAATTAAATTCAAAAGAATAAAATAATGTTTTCCGATGAGCGGACGCGACGTTTTTCAAGCACCTAGTTCATAAAAATAAATTTTTTCCCACAAGCGAACGCTAGGTTCAAGCACCCAATTTTTAAAAAGAAAAAAAATTAAAATTAAAAAAAAATTAAAACGTTTATCTAAGAGTGAACGCCATGATCAAGC